CTCCGGCTGCCGGTCCTGCCCGGCTCCTTCTCGGCTTTTGTGCTGGGCAGGTCCAACACTTGAAACTTGACGAGTGCGGTGACTTCCCTTTTTGGTTGCTCGCAGACCCCCAACGCCGGAGAGCTCCGTCCAGGCACTATCAGGCTTTTTTCTTGCAAAGTCATGATCCCGCGCTCCTGAGAGCTGTCGGGATGGAGCTCTCGGAGCGGGCATGTGACACTACACTTACTGATAGGTAAAATGCTATTTTGGTGGACGATGCAGTTGACTCACAAGTAGAGGCTGCAGTTTGGAGAGGATGGAGGGCGAATGGCACGGGCGGTACGTGAAATCTGAAACATTCTGTAAAAGCGGCAGGATGGTGGCTACAGGAAAGAGACTTTCACATTGCTGCTGCCGTGGAGGGTTCCATAATATTCAAGATACTCCACACAGCGGTTTTGGTGTGAGACTTGTCAGGTCCTGGAGAATATACTCTCCTCGGTAGCAGCTGCCCTCCCTGGTGGCCCCTGGATGGGATGTTTCACTGTGGGGAAGGGAGCTGCTCTCGGGAGAACGGGCTGGGAACAGGTTGGTTTTGCCAGTTTGAGCTGCTGCGAGTTCTGCACTTGTTCCGACTGAAAGTTTATTAATGTGACCCTTACCTAAAGGGAGCTCCTCTTTACAGCATCACAAGCAACTGGAGTAGATTTTAGTCTGATTACGTGCTTTTATTGATTTTATGCAGTGCAGTAATGCCATAATAGATAGTTTAGTAGCCAGCTGATCCTGTGCATTACTGATCAAGTTCTGTTTTGGGGCAAGGGAAGCAAGGTGCTCCTTGCCTACACATGGACAGTATGTCCAGTGCTGGCTGAGAGCAGCCTCTGGGCAGGAGCAAACTTCAGGGATGAGTTTCTTACTAATGTCAATTAGACAGTGGAACTGCATTTTGCATTTAACACATGTGTTTTAGATGGTGGGTGTTGTAACCTGAGAGTTCAGCAGATGAGCCCTAGGTCATGGTGAACCATCCTACCCCAAAAAGGGCTCTTTTAGCTCGACTGTGGCAGACAGGCTGTTAGCTTGTATAAAGAAATGGGGCTTGTTAGTTGCTACTATAAATATTAATGAGAAAAGAGATACTTCATCAGGGCTGAATTAGCTTGGAAGCTATTCAGGCTTGCTTAGGAGTTATTTTTCAGTAAGAAGGAGTGATTTCAGTTGTGCCTTGCCCTGCCCTGCCTACGTTAGATCTGCCCAAACTTGCTCTGGAAGTTGTCTTGCGTAGCGAGACTCAGGAGGAGCAACTAACCCTGAGCAGGAAATGCTGGAGTAGGAAGAAGAATCTGGTGTACCAGCAGTATTTACCACTTTACTTAATCTCTTTTCTGTCAGGTGAATCACAGACATACTCGATAGGGATGTGGCTCATTCCTGCATGTCACAGGACAAACCTACAGACTTTTTAAGATGGAATTCAGCACCTAAAGATTCAATGTCATGTTTTCCAGGACTTTTAAGAGTAGGAAGGAATCCGTGTCCTGTGTTCATCAAAGGATAGACTGCCTCAGGTTCTGAACAAATTTGTGCTGCCAGCAGGGCAAGGCATCTTGGATACTGTCAGGTCATGCAGTCTTTGTTGTTGATATGTGGAGCACCATGAAGAGAAATTGTTTGAGTTGTTGTGCCAAGCAGCTCTTACTGTGTCACAGTTATTAGTAGGTTCCTGAGAAGTCTTGAAATAACTGACAGAAAATGGGAATGTTTTCGTATCAACATGTAATTTCAGGATTGAAAAATAATCTGCGCGTAGCAGGAGATATTTAATATCTGTTGTTTCTTCAGCCACAGCAGGCTGTTGGATGTCTAAATATCCTAAACTATCTCCTTTATACAGCCACATGCAGATACCTGCTGTTCCAGGTGTGGAGCGTGGCACTCATAAACCAGGTTGCTGGATAATTACGGGCACCTTTTTGTTTATGAGGAGCTGATAAGGTAATCTGACAAACAGTGTTCTGGAATTGGCAGGAGCTGGAGCTGTTGGTGCTCACTCTGCTCCAGCACTGCCTCTGTGCTGTGTTACCAACCACTGACTGGGGCTGAGTGCCCCTAAAGCCTTGTCCCCAGTGCTGACCTGGAGTGAACCTCGTGCAGCCTGTCAGGGGTGCAGCTGCTGTCCTGTCGTACTGTTTAAAGGGAAGAGGTTTTTGGGGAGGAGCAGTGTGTGTCAGTAGGTGTGTTAGTGGTACAGTAGTTTCTCCTTTCAGGACAGGCTGTGTTAGTAATACCAGGATCTGAAGAGAGGAAAAGCACATGTGTCTTGCTCGACTGGGTTTTTCGGGTTTCCTTTCCTGAGCTCTCCTGAAGCACCGTGTGTGTTAAACTTCACATCTCTGCTGTTCTCAGGTGTCTGAGAGACCTCAGGTGAAGACAAAGTTCTTGCTGTGCTTGTGTGGCTTCAGAATAATTCATTTAGAAACTGGTGAAAGGCAGAGATGTTCCTCTCCATGGAGGTGGATCTCAGCAGCAATCCTGGGAGTCAAGTCAGTTGGATTTTTATGGAGGTTACAAAGGCAGGGAAGCTGCTGATCCCGTTTTCTTGTACATAGGGTGGAAGCTGCTGTGGTGCAGTTGTCTTCCTGTGGATTTTCACAGTTCCTGACAAAGCAGTGGTACACAGTAACCTGCTGTGGCTCAGTTCTGAATCAATTCTCCTCTTGCTTTTGTTATTTCTGCTGTTGTACAGCAGAGGCAGATAACACAGACACATGGGCAGTGCCAGCTGATAGGAGGTTATTAGGTAGTCACAAGACCAGTATATTTAGAAGTGCAGTTGCAGCCAATGGTGCTCTTCAGAGCCCCAATTTGGGCCTGAAGTTCATGGTGACAATTTAAAATCAAAACCCAGAGTGCCCAGCAGTGGGCAATGTCCCACAGCCACTCAGGACCCGGTGTGTGGGTAAGGGCTGACGTGCTCTGTCGTGAGGAGGTGCCCAGGTCCTGTGCTGGGGGCTCACTTCACTTTCCAAGTGGGTGTGAGGCCCATTCTGTCAGGTTTTTTTCAGGTGGCATCACAAATGTTTACTACTGTGTTTGCAAGCAGTAACAAGTTTATTGCTGATTTTTTTGTGAGCCCTTAAATTCTGAGACAAAAAATAAACTTGTTGCAAGAAGTTGTTATTTGTTTCTCAAAGAACTTTGGCAGTAACAGCAATGTTTCTTTTTCTAATCATTTCTCTCAGACTGTCCTAGTTAAAAGTATCTGAATTAGCACATCCTTCAGGTTCCTGTTGTACTCTCATCTTTGGGTGCATCAGCTGTAACCACTGGTTAGGGTTGCTGGGTTTTTGGGGGGCTATTGAGTTTGGTGTTTTTTTTTTTTTTTGGGAGCTTTTTATACTCAATTGTCTGTATATACTCGGAATGATCTTTACACCACTAGGTGTAATAATACTGCAAATTTTTGTGCATAAAGACTTGTGACAGCTTCTCTGTTTGTCTCTGCCTGGGTTCTGGTTGTGAGGTTAAAACTATAGATGAAAGAATTTAATTACACAAGGAGTAATTGGTTGTCAGTGCACCAGGTTATCAGGCTGAAAAAACCCCAACAAACGGGAAACCTGTGCCTAATTAGGGAGCTAATCTGTGTTCCTACTGTTCAGCAGGGATCACCTCCTGCTATGCTGAACAGTGAACCACAGATCTTTGAAACACTAAAAGGGGAGAGCACTGAGCCAGCACATGGTACATTATTTGTAGTTTCTCAAGCATGGACTGAATTGTGAAGCAAGGCCTGTCCAGAGTCACTGCAGGTTGTGAAGTAAGTTTTTATTTTAACTGTAGTATGGCTTTGGAGGGTTCCTCAGCAGAGCCCTCTGGCATATATCCATTACTGATACATCCTGCAGGTAGCTGCTGCAGATGATACACTTTTCCTTCCTAAATTATCTGGTGTGGCTGTGGGTTCTGGTGGGGAAGACATACAACAGTTAATCATCAATTGCATGACCTGCATGATTGTATCCCTTCCCTCATCACCATTAATGCAGTTGATGTTTTTTTCTCCCATAGAGTTAATTTTTAGATGGATTTGCTCCTGGAATGTGTCTTGACTGGCGTGGTACTCTGCTAATTGAGATGTTCTCTAATTGTGAAGTTGAAGATGATGTTAGGTTCAGACAGAACAGTAGTTTGGGCAGATTTTAGCCCCTAATGTGCTATGAAAGACCACGGTTGTTTCAGTTTTTCTCTCTTTAAAACAGCACTTTTGGATCATGGCCCAGGGAAGTATTCTCCTGAATTGAAATATTTGAGGAATTTTTTTTGAATGAATTCTACTGTTAAGCAAAGTCTCCTGACTTATTTCCAGCTTCTGCCTCATCTGGGTATTGATACTCCTTGGGGTTTGTTTTTTTGCCTTTTTTTTTTAAATTAGTAATTTATTTTTTTAGCAGAAAAGAGCAATACTGGGAGGGTGGTGCTTCTGATGCACCAACAGGTGAGAGAGGTAGCTGCCCAGAGATTACAACATCCAGGTCCTTGGGGAGTGTTGTATTATGTGGATGGGCTTTAGGATGAAGGAGTAAAGGCAGAAATCTTTATGCCTGTTCCCCAGACAGTGAGTGGGAATGGGGCTGGTCTTCATCTCCCTGAGCTTGTGTCACCCAAGATGAAGTAAGAGCCACATCTGTGCAGGTGATGGCCAGATCCCCCTCTCGTGTGCTGGACTGTGGTCAGGAGTTGGGCAGTGCTGTGCTCCTGTCCCAGATCACCAGTGCCAGCTGAAAACACCCTTTGCTTCTCTGCACGTGTCCCTGCTGTGCTGACAGAACAAGGGTTAATGGCAGTTAGGAAACCTTGCATTAAGAAAGAGTGACTGAGTGACCGAGTGCTGGGCTGGGGTCTGAGGGAGGGGGCACAGAGCAGGATTTGCTGCCTGGTGTGGGGCTGGCAGGGCTCGTTCCCTGCTGTGGGACTCACCGTGTGGTTCTCTGTGCTCAGTGGGTGCTGTGTCACCCCTGGCTGCCCACCATGGTGAAGCTGGACATCCACACGCTGGCTCACCACCTGAAGCAGGAGCGGCTCTACGTGACGGCGGAGAAGCAGCTGATCCAGCGGCTCAACGCCGACGTGCTGAAGACGGCGGAGAAGCTCTACCGGACAGCCTGGATCTCCAAACAGCAGCGCATCAACCTGGACAGGCTCATCATCACCAGGTGACTGCACTGCTGGGGCTGGCACGGCAGCCAGCGGCTTCTGCACACTTAGAATCTGGAGTCCTTTACTGTACTAACCATAAAAATAGTGAGGTTTTAAATCAAACATCAGCAAGGGAATCTTACACACATGAAAGTTACTTGTTGGCCACTTAGACAACTTTTTTTTAATACCTGTGTTTGTTTTGCTTTTGTTTGGGGGAATAAACTCTCCTGAATTTGCAGATGACTTGTAGTAATTACCTGGAAAGTCTCTTTTCCTTGGTGGCTGTCTGGTTAATAGTTTGACCACGTGGCATCTTTTAGGAAGATCTTGTTTACTTAAGAGTTACTTAAACTGTTTCAATGTTTTTCTTTAAAGTGCTGAAGCTTCTCCTGCTGAATGTTGCCAACATGCAAAAATCTTGGAGGACACGCAGTTTGTGGATGGATATAAGCAGCTGGGATTTCAGGAGACTGCTTACGGAGAATTCCTGAACAGACTGAGAGAGAACCCGAGGCTTATTGCGTCCTGCCTGGTTGCTGGAGAGAAGCTCAACCAGGACAACACTCAGAGTGTCATTCACACAGTCTTTACCTCCATTTATGGCAACTGCATCATGCAGGAGGATGAGAGTTACCTGCTCCAGGTCCTCCGTTACCTGATTGAGTTTGAACTCAAGGAGAGCGACAACCCCCGGCGGCTGCTCCGACGAGGCACCTGTGCCTTCAGCATCTTGTTCAAACTCTTCTCTGAAGGACTCTTCTCTGCAAAACTTTTTCTTACTGCAACCTTACATGAGCCAATCATGCAGCTCCTGGTTGAAGATGAAGACCACCTGGAAACCGATGCAAACAAGTTAATTGAGAGATTCTCCCCAGTACAGCAGGAAAAGTTATTCGGAGAGAAAGGCACAGAAAAGTTCAAGCAAAGAGTCCAAGAGATGGTTGACTCCAACGAGGCCAAGCTGGTGACTTTGGTCAACAAATTCATTGGCTATCTCAAACAAAACACTTACTGTTTTCCTCACAGCTTGAGGTGGATTGTGTCGCAGATGTACAAAACGCTGTCGTGCGTGGACAGGCTGGAGGTTGGGGAGGTCAGAGCCATGTGCACAGATCTTCTTCTGGCCTGTTTCATCTGCCCTGCAATCGTTAACCCAGAGCAGTATGGGATCATTTCTGATGCTCCTATAAATGAGGTGGCAAGATTTAATCTGATGCAGGTATGATTCATGTTAAAGCAGTCTTAAAATTATATGTATGAGAAATGTTCTTGGCCTTTTTTTTTCCCACCAGAACTGATGCTGCTGCAGTAAAGGTACTGTCTCTCTTACTTGTAAGAGGAATGGCAACAAAATATTTGTGTTAATTGTTGCTGAGAAGTCAGGCTTTGTCTGGTTGCTTAAAATACTGGCTTGAAGCAACTGACAGCATGTATTCCTGTATCCCTTGGAAGAGTTGCAAATGTCCTGTATAAAAGCTGGTATAAGGGATGGAAGCTAAAGCATAAAAACGACTAAAACATGAATTCTGGAATGTGTGTAAATGTGTGTTGCACTGTTCCTGCTAATGTTAAATGTTGTGCCAGGTATTGCAAAAAATAGTGGAATATTTTGCTGAAACCCCCTTGTTGTCTGGCAGTAATGCCCAGTGTTTCTGGTGGGCAGCTCTCCTGTGCCATCAGCCCTCAGAGCACTCCCCAGCCCTCATGACCAGGTTTTGTCTCTGTGCAAATACTTGGCCAGTTTAATGATGGTACGTGGAGGTGTTGTCTGAAGGTGTTGAGCAACTCTCCTCTGACTGAGGATGTTCCCCACAGGAGGAACAAAACCTGCTTTTTAACGTTGTCTGCAAACTGGGCAGGGAGTGACTCTCACAGCATAATCGTGGTGGTGTGTTTTACACAGTGCTCTTCTGAAACCCATTAGCAATCCTCTCCTGTGCCACTGCTCGGGTGCTGCAGCAGAGCTTGCACTTGGCAACTCTTTAAATTGAGGGTTGTTTTGCAGTTGGAGATTAATAAGGGATATGTGCTGTGAAGTCAGAGTTAGCCCTCTTGCTATTTTTTCCTCAGTAAACTATATGCAGGCTTTGCAAACCTCTAGGTTTAAGATGACCTAGATTCAACTCTCAATTGTGACGTGTTGTAAAAACAAAACATGCTTTGTTCCTGGGAGGGGGAAGTATGGATGCTCACAGCACATTTTCTGTTAAATGCAATGACTGCTTTTTTTCTAAAGCTTCTTGCTTTTTTTCTGCCCTGAAAGCAAGCACAAGACTGTTCACTCAGTTAGAAGTATTTCTTGGAGTATTAATTGAAAAAGGATTTAGAATGGAGGAGTTTTTTTGAGTATTTTTTGTAATTGGGTCCATCACGTTGTTTTCAAAGGCTTATTCTTTGTACTTCTCTTTCATTTCAGGTTGGGAGGCTCCTGCAGCAGCTGGCAATGACGGGCTCTGAGGAGGGAGATCCACGTACCAAGAGCAGCCTTGCTAAATTTGACAAAGTAAGAATCCAGACTAAAAAAACCCTGAGACTCAGTGGATACATCATCATCCTTCTGCAGTCTCCTTTTTCAGACATTGCAAAGGACCTACTAAGTGTTTAACTTCCAAGTTACATGTACTGAAAAGCAGATTGAATCCTGCACAAAGCTGGGGAAAAAAGCCCTTGAGCTCTGGAATTAAGCATCTGGGATTCTTGCTTCTACTCTGACCTAACACTTCTTAAAAGAAAATACAGAACAAGAAATTAAAGCAAATTACATTTTAGACTGTGCACAGGAAGTGTCCAAGGCCAGATTGGACGGGGCTTGGAGTGACCTGGTCTAGTGGAAGGTGTCCCTGTCCATGGCAGGGGGGTGCAACTGGATGGTCTTTCAGGTCCTCCCAGCCCAAACTGTTCTGTGATTTTATGATTCCATGAACTGCTAAATTACTGTCTGTGGCTTTTCAACTGAACCTAAACAAAACACTTTGATCTGAAGACAGCTTTAGTATGAAGTCTGGTTTAACACCAAAGAATTTGTTAGTGCAAGTAACTTCTGTTCCTTTTTCTTTTTTGCATAGTTGTGCTTTTTTGTTCAGCTTTTCCATTTTAGTATTAATCTTCTGAGAGTTGGACTCTTGTGTGCCCCTTCCAACTCAGCATATTCTGTGGTTCTGTGATTCATATCCATACAGCAGTTACCTTCATCAGAGCAACAGTGAAACTTATGGTCTTTGTTGTACTGTCAGATGTTTAAAAACATGTTGATATCCTTGTGTAATTTCCAGGTTTTTGCTAATTCCAATCGTTACACAGTCATACCACAAAGCTACACATTTATTTTAAAACTAACATTCCATCAAATCAGAAACTGATATTGTGTGTTGCTTCCTTGTTTCACTTTTGGTCTGTGCTCAGCAGATCCTTCAGGAAGGGGCAGTTTAATTGCCATAAAACAGTTTAATTTTTTTAAAAAGTTTTAAGAGGACACTTAAGTAACACTTTTGAATGCAGAAAAAAATGAAGGAAATGCTATAACTGTCTACGTGCTTTCCTTGCTTGTTCTTCAGGGGTTTTAATGATATCTGCTACTCTATCATAGGATTTCAAAAGTAGGAAGCAGAACTTAACATCATTCTGTAAAGTACTTAACTCCTGTCATAAATTTCTTTCCAAACCCCAGAAGTGGTCTCTCATTTGCAGTCTCCTCCTCTCCCTGCAGAGCTGTGTTGCTGCTTTCCTGGATGTGGTCATCGACGGGCGCGCGGTGGAGACGCCTCCGATGTCTGCTGTCAACCTGCTGGAGGGGCTGAGCAGGACCGTGGTGTACATGACATACAGCCAGCTGACCACTCTGGTAATGCCTCACCTTCTTGAAAAGAAGTAGTGTAAACTTGTGCCCATGTGTGCACACAAACCAGGCTGGTCTCTTGCAGTTCTTACGACACTAATTGTAAATGTTTAGGTTGGCTTTATGCGCAACGTGATGTCAAGCGATCAGCTTAAGGAAGATCGGATGGCTTTGGAAAACTTGCTGGCAAACTTACCCCAGAACAAGCCAGGGAAAAGCAGCAGCCTTGAAATGACTCCATATAACACCCCCCAGCTTTCTCCTGCGACCACTCCAGCCAACAAAAAAAACCGGTTACCGATAGGTAAGGGCAGCGAGCGGAGTCTCGTGTGGTTCTGTGCCGTGGGCATTTCTGGGCCATTGTCTCAGGCATCTCCTGGGGCTACTCTTTGCCTACACCTTCAGTTCTTACTTTTTCTGTGTAGGTAGTGAAGAATTTTCTTTAGCACAGAAAGCCAGGTAACTTCCTTACCTTGTGATGCAAGTAGGGTGGGTGAGCTTCATCCTCCGGGTTGAACTTGAGAAAAGCAGTGTAGTGGTTGGTAGTCATAATGGTAGTGGCTGACAGTGATAATAAAGGCAAAGTTTAAAGAGGGGAAGCAGATCTGGGAGGGAAGATTGCTTAAGAAAGTGTTAAGATGGAAGCAGAGTTGTTTAATTAGTGGGATAGAGTAAGTTAAATATTTTTCTGTCTCAGAAGAGAGCAAATGGGGAGGAGATGAACAAGCAGGAGCAGGACTTTCAGAGTATGTGCCAAGAAGAGAAGCTTTCTCCTTTCTCCATTCCTTGTCTGCTCTAATTCTAACTGTCAGTATTCTGGAATGCAATTTTATGTTGGTTGGCTTTTGTTTTTTGAGTAGGATTTCTGGGTCTTGAATTTTTCCTTTGCAATAATACTTTATTTTAAGATAGGAAGTGTGGTACTCTTAGTCAGTAACTATTTATGTGACAAATAATCAGTCAGTGATCATTCCTGTGATTATGACCACATGGGATAGTTCTGTTTGAGAGATTTGGTGTCGGTGTGTAAAAGGATGAAAATATGCAGAGCCTGATAAGTGGCAAAAAACCCCACAAAACCACTCCCAAGACAAACCTGTCCCATGTTGTTTTAACTCTGCTTCTGAATGGCTCTGGCACAGCAGCATTTATTTTATGGTATAAAATAGCTTTTGCTCAAAGTTTTTATTTCTTTTGTTTCATTTTAATGCTTCCGAAATGCAGGACAGCAATTGGCAGCCATTACTGCCTGGGACACCTCTGCCACCAATCTGTCAGCTCACATAACTCTAGTAACCCCTTTTGGTGGGTAATGCCCTCTTTCCATTCTTCTCTCTGAAACTTTGCCCTGTATCACCACTCAAGCATGTCTTTGGGTTACTCTGGCAATCAGTTCCCTTTTCAGATTTCTTCATTGATTTCTGTGTGAAACTCACTTTGTGTTCATGTGGTTTTTGAAAACCCTTCCTGTGCCTTTGTGTGATAATCAGATTTTGGCTGTGACTTCTGCACACTTGCCTTGTTTTCCCCAGATCAAATAAAGAAATAATTGGTGTCATGCTGCCATACTTAGAAATCTTAATTCCATGTGGGCGTTTTTGCTTCCCTGGAGCCAAACGTGGGAATCTGAGGCTGGTTGAAAAGATTAATAGAGTCACAAAATAATCAGAATGAACTGCCCGATGTTCTATTGTATGTTTGTGTTTGAGACACCTGTTGGAATTAGATTTCCAATTTTTTAGGTGAAAAAAACCTTCTAAACAAATTAATCAGAGTTTTAAGCCACAGAAACCTAGACCTTTTTTGTTGGTAACAAAGTTAATTTTCTCATTTAACATATTAAAGGTCTTTCTGTGACTGGAGTACGCTGAATTTGTGTAGACAAACAGGACATAGTGTACCTTGTTTCTCTACTTCTCTTTTGTTGAAAGCTTCCTTCATCAATACACAAATTTAAACACCAGTTCCATATCCCAAAGTTTAATAAGACTTTGATTTTGTAAATTTATTTTGTATGTATTACTAATTGAAACACTATAGTTCTGTATTTCCATTGTATTGTCCTTTTTTCCTCTTTAAACAAGGAAAAACTTTCTAATATTGACATTTCAAAATATTTTCTTAGCAACTCGTAGCAGAAGTAGATCAAATATTCTGATGGATCAGCACGGAGATCACGAAGGATCCTCCCAGGAAACTATCCCAGAAGTTCAGCCAGAAGAAGTGCTGGTGATTTCTCTGGGGACAGGTCCACAGATTACTCCAGGAATGATGTCAGAAAATGAGGTATCCAGACACGATGACATCTCAGATATTTTGAACAGTGCAGCCTCTGTCTTCTCAGTAGCAGAACAATGAGGTTGTAACACTTAAGTTTTGGTAGTAATTGGAATTAAAATCCTTACTTTATGTTACTGAACTCGGGGCTTTTAGCTTTCAAATTGCTCTTTGTTAGGTGGTTTTTTTCCCCTCACTTAAGATGTTTAAGAGCAAACCTGAGCTATTTTTGTTGAGCCTGAAGAAGCTGATGCAAGTGCCCTGTCCCTTGGATCAAGGGACACAGGTGAATGGCAGAACTGGAGCACCGATCCCAATGTTTTTGGCAGCTCAGACTTGAAAGGCAGAGGCCCAGCTTGTTGTGAGGGCAGAGCTGTGCTATCAGTGCCATCAGTGCCTGCAGAGTGTTCTTAGGCAGGGCTGCAGTTACTGCCTTTTCTGTCTCCAGCTGCAGCACAGCTGCTGCTTCCAGATTTGCTGCCTTGCCTGGGGGTTGGGATTATCTCCTTTGGCAGCCTCGTGGAGAGCAGTGTCCATGTTACACTGGTCTGTGGGGTGCTGAGGGAACCTGGCTCCATTATCAGGACATGCCTGATGTTCACAGCGTGGTATCTTGCATTGTCCCCAGGCCCTGACTTGGGACATTGCTGCCCTTTTTCAGATGGAACATCAGACACTTGATTGTGACACTGACAATACAAGAACATGCCTCCAACATTTTATTTACTATTTAGTTACCGGAGAAATAGATGATTTTAAGGAAGTCTTGTTTCTTTCCCCACTCTCCAGGTCTTAAACATGCAGCTTGCAGATGGCGGGCAAGATGTCCCCATTGACGAAAACAAACTCCATGGTAAACCTGATAAAACCTTGCGCTTTTCCCTCTGCAGTGATAATCTGGAAGGAATATCTGAAGGTGAAGGGCTGCTTAAGTCTTGAAGAAGTTTTGTTGCTCTGTTTTTTGGGTGTTTTTCCCCTTAACTCTAAAAGGAAGGTGTGTTAGATGCAGCATCTCATCTGTGCTGTTCTGAAGGCCATGTAATGTGAGAGCCTGTCTTTTCTCTTAGTTGTTCAGAGAAAAAAGCCTGCAGCTATATTTTGACCTACAAAGGCATAACCAAGTCTGAGAATTAGGAAGAGGAAAACCTAAGTGTGTTTAGAAAGACAAAACGGAGGGATTTTTTTTTTTTGAAACTTAAATGTAATACTAGTTATTAAGATAATCTAATTTAACTCTTAACTTGGGCTTCTTAGACTTAACTTTTCACCATGTTTTAATAAACTGTTACATATCTCAGAATAATTTCTGGATTCTGGACAACTCCTTTTTATGAACCTGAGACACAACAAAGCACAGGTGTCTGTGAGATGGGAGAGGTTTGGGCAGATCAGTCCTGCATTATTGTGTATAACTTCCATAACTTAGTTTTTGCTCTCTGTCTCCTCAAAATAAAGAAAACAAATTCATGGACAAGTTAATGGCAAAGACTTTATTGACTTTTTAGTTGCAGCAAAGTACAGTAGTGGTGAGATTCAGTATTTTGTATAATTTCTTCTAATTTTTCTAGTGAATCGTGTCCTGGATTGTTAATGCTGTATATTTAGGCACTGTTATTCAAATCAGATTTAGAGTAAAATCTGTTCTCACAGGTCCTTCCAATCGCTCCAACTCGGTGTCCTCGCTGGATTTGGAAGGGGAGTCGGTGTCGGAGCTCGGCGCGGGCCCCTCCGGGAGCAACGGTGTGGAGGCTCTGCAGCTCCTGGAGCACGAACAAGGCAGGTGCCAGCTCTCATACAGCCTGAGGAGCTGGAGGTGGCAAAGCCAAAGTCCTGCAGAAAGAGGTGGCAAAATGCACTAATTCAGGAAGAAAAAAGTAGATGTTTTCCTTTCGTGATCACTCTTGCATTTGTTTGTGGTTTGGTGTGGTTTGGTTTTTCCCAATAAATATTTCTTGTAGTCTGTTGTTAGGAAAAGGAAATCACCTGGAATTTTGAGGCTTAAGTCCTTTACAGGAAACTGCTTGTAAAGTTTTGCTTGATATCAAACTTTTCCCTTCAGGAGTAGGATGATCTGGATTGGAGTAGGTTAAAAGCATCTGGATAGTTTCCTGTTTAATATACATTTGTCAAACACTGAACAGGTTTCCCAAAGAGATTGAGGTGTCTCCAGCCTGGAGATATGACTGGACATGACCATGAGCAATCTACTGTCACTGATCAGGGCAGGGGGTTTGGGCTGGATTGTTCTCTAGGGGCCTCAGCTTTTCTGTGGTTAGTTCTTCTACAGGAATTGTATCAGTTTCTTTATAGCACTACATTTCATTTATTTTGTCTGTTGATTTAGTCAATAGGTCACCGTGTTTACTTCCAGATTTTTCTTCTTACATCTCAAATGTGTTTTCAGACAGCATCTCTTGAATAGTATAGTAGTGCTTTACAGGCCTCACTTTAAACCACTGCCTTTCCTGACAGAATTAGAGGGTTGGTTGGTTGGAGTTTTTTTCCTAGAATGCACTCTTCCAGGTTTTCAGTCTGAAGTAATTGGAGAAGCCTTTCAGAAAGCTGAGAACTGTTTATTTCCCCACAGCCACAACTCAGGATAATCTGGATGACAAGCTCCGTAAGTTTGAAATCCGTGATATGATGGGTTTGACTGATGACAGAGATATATCAGAAACTGTGAGCGAAACCTGGAGCACAGATGTCTTGGGAAGTGACTTCGACCCCAACATGGACGAGGACCGGCTGCAGGAGATCGCAGGTAACTGGTGCTGCACCGGGTACGTTCTCGTGCTTCGCTCGCTCTGGGACCGCGAGGCCGCCGAGCCTCCTTCTCCCCTCCAACAGGCTGTGCCCACGGAGCAAACTGCAGCTTTCCCCTAGGAGGATTTTGTGTGCATGACCTGGATTGTATTCAGTTGCTCATTTCTTTTCACCGTTGTGTTTCCTGGTGGCTTTGTTAAGGACACTTTTCTCTCTAGAGCTGTCTCCAGAGCCCAGCTCTAGCCATACGCTTCGGCTTTACTTTTGCAGGTGCAGCTGCAGAGAACATGCTAGGCAGCTTGCTGTGTTTGCCAGGTTCAGGATCCGTGTTGCTTGATCCCTGCACAGGTTCAACCATATCAGAAACCACAAGTGAGGCGTGGAGTGTGGAAGTATTACCGAGTGATTCAGGTCAGAATTGGGCAGTTTTTGCTTATTTCTTTAGCATGATTCTAAGACTCTTCCAGAGGCATATAATGCAGAACAGCAGCCTCTTCTTTCTTCAAGAAATTATTGTCCTAGGATTAAGTTAGTGTTTATGAATACTTCCAGGATTGAAAGCACAAATCCTTCCTAGGCAGAGAGAAGATGGAAAGCATTGGGAGAGACTTACTGTTACTTAAGAAATTCTTAAGGGCTGAAGGGGAAGAGAAGGGTTTGCAAAGCAAACTTGCACTTACTTTCCTTCCCTGTGATATTGAGTAGGGGCCGTACAGTTCACTGTGGTTAGTGAAGATGTGACTGTATCCTGTTGTGTCTAAGAAATACAACACTTAAAACAGTAAACACTCCTTAGCATTCCTGTGCAGACAGAGCATTGCTGTCTGTGCAGAGTTCTGCCTTCAAAGAATATAAGAAAACTCTTGCTGAAGTGGTTGAGTTACCTTAGAACTTGATACACTGAACCAACACCCCCGCATTCCTTCTGCATGTGAATGTTAAGGGAGCCTGGCATTGAGGAGTGATACTTTCGCTCTCTGCTCTCCATTGTCTCCTTTTTGTAGAGGCTCCAGACTTAAAACAGGAGGAAAGACTCCAAGAACTGGAGAGCTGTTCTGGGCTGGGCAGCACGTCTGATGACACAGATGTGAGGGAGGTCAGCTCTCGACCCAGCACTCCAGGACTCAGCGTTGTGTCAGGTGTGTTCAGCTGTCCCTGAAAACACACTGCTCTATCAGAGCACTCACCCTGTTGGCATGTGCTTTAGTTATACCTCACTTCACTCATAAAATAACTTCCTGCACTCATTTGGGAATTTTCAAAGCAGTGATTCTTTGTTCATCTCACAAAAGAAATGAAAAAGGCAGCAGAGTGGTGAATACTCTGTGCTGCAAAAGCAGTGCTTGGCAGAGCGTTGATTTGGAAGCAACTCTTGTGTTTAGTTTTATTATCACAACTTTTTTATTTAAGTAAATCAGCATATCTCTAGTTCTTCATTTTCTGCCAAGTATATAACAGAGTGAAGTATCCTCCTAATGCCCCTTGTCAGAGTGTATTCATGGCAGTGGTAAAATGTAGACCAGAAATTGTTATTTTGGGAGTGCAGAAACTCCATGTGTCTGTAGGTACTACTGTGAGTTAGGACTTGATTATTGCAGTGTTCACCAAACATTTGTACACCCTCAGGATTTTACTTCCTTGCTCTCTGAAAGACTATTATGGATGCTTCTTTTGTAAGGTATTAGTGCAACATCTGAAGATATTCCCAACAAGATTGAGGATCTCAGATCTGAATGTAGCTCTGACTTTGGGGGAAAAGATTCTGTGACAAGTCCTGATATGGATGAAACAGCTCATGGTAAGTTACTTACCTGGAGTCTCTGATAAGTACAAGTTACACTTAGAGTCCTTAAATGTTACAGTTTTCCTAATTTCAGAGTTCTGGTGACTAAGCTTAACATTTTCCTTATGTGCCAGCAGTGTATTTGTTTGACAAAGAGACTTTAGTAGTTTTCAGTCCTAGAGCTTGAGTACTGAGTCTAAGATCACCTTTCCCTAATTTGGTTTGATTAAATTGACTGTCCTCTTGTCCTTTTGGAATTGGGCCACTCCTCAAGATTTCCCCACTATTTGTGATGTGATTCTTTGATCATTTCAATGTACTACAGAGATCTTTCCATACAAGAATATCTTTACAAATATTTTGCAGTCTAAGTTTTGTAACCTGCTGTTGCTGGGCACTGTTTCTCCAGCGTCCCTCACGTTGGAGGCAGTTTTGGTACAGTGCTAACTTTGTTCTCTCTGTATTTCAGGAGCCAGTCAGTTGACATCTCCACCTTCTCAGACAGATTCTTTGCTTGCGTTGTTTGACCCTCTGTCCTCAAATGAGGGTGAGTTGTAAAGAGTAAGCTTTTTTATTTTTAAAAGTAGGCATTTTCAATGCTTCTTTGTAAATACCACGTAATTTGGAAGAATCTTGAAAGAAATGTGTGTGGCTTCTTTTATGCTTATGACCACAGGTGTGTCAGCTGTAGTAAGGCCTAAAGTGCACTATGCAAGACCCTCTCACCCACCTCCGGATCCCCCCATCCTGGAAGGAGCTGTGGGAGGTAACGAGGCCCGACTGCCAAACTTTGGGTCTCACGCTCTGATTCCAACGGACCTGGAAGCCTTCAAGCAGAGACATTCCTACCCGGAGAGGCTGGTCCGCAGCCGCAGCTCGGACATTGTGTCGTCGGTCCGGAGGCCCATGAGCGATCCCGGGTGGAACAGACGTCCTGGGAACGAGGACAGGGAGCTGCCCATGGCCACCAGCAGTGCTGGAGCAGCTGTGCTGGCAGCCACGTCTCAGTCATCGTCTTCATCTCCCAGTAAGGACTCCTCCAGGGGAGAGGTGAGGCTTCTGTTTATCATTTTATTTTTTCCTGTCATGCCCACTTTAACTATGCATCCATGCCAGAGAGTTGGTATTAAATGTGTTTAGCCAAGGAATTACAGCACACTTTTGTTACCCTTTAAACATTGCCCAGTAATGTTTTATAGGCTAAAGCTGAAGATGTCCAGAGTGGCTTAAATGGATCTGGCTTCTCTTAAGTTTACTGGATGAACTTTATTGGATTTAGTGGCACTTCAGAAATAAATTCATTGTAATGGTAAACTGCTGCAACAGCCTAAGAAGTAATTTTCTTTAAAAAAGAAATAAGTGAAATCTAAGGTTCTTCATGACTTTGGGTTTACATTTGCAGGCTGTCCTCTTCAGGAGGGATATTTCTGATTTAATGTGCTCCCTGTGCTCTGCTGTAGTTCTGTTTTTACAGTCAGTGTAGCAGAGCCTGATGTGGAGAAATTTTCTCTTTACACTTGATTTGGTAAATGCTCAGATGTAGACTCTGCCCTTCTGCAGATTGAGGAACGAAAAGACAGCGATGATGAGAAGTCTGACAGGAACAAGCCCTGGTGGAGGAAACGTTTTGCATCTGCCATGCCCAAAGGTGGGAGCATGTCTGTCGGGTTTTGGTACTGCAGTCAGGGTGCATGCTGCCTTTATGTCTTTAGTCACTTTAATGGCTAAATTAAAGTATAAATAAATATGTCAATAAAAATAGGAAGCTACCTGGCTCCCTTGGATAGTAGTTCTCTAGAGTGTGTTGTACCTGCAAGGCAAAACTGTTCTGCCTGGGTGTCTGGTAAAGGTGGAACTTACTACAGATGATGGCAGTGCAGTTCTACTCCACCCCGTGGATAAGCTTATGCTTTTATTGAAGTTTATTTGATGAAAATCTTCTGCATTAGCCACTTCCTTAAAGTTTCTACAACTTGACCATTATCTCAGGATAGTCTTTGATGAGGTACCTTGTGTTTTCAGCTCCTATTCCATTTAGAAAGAAAGAAAAACAAGAGAAAGACAAAGATGACATGGTGCCTGACAGATACGCAACACTTCAAGGTATGTGAATAATCTTATCATAGTAATTTTCTCTCAGAACATGCCTTCTGGAGTTCCAGAGTGCCCACCAGGTAGCTGTTGACAGACAAGTATGTGCTGCTGTAGTTGATGTTCACAACTAGCATTTTGAATAAGAAAATGGATAAAGACTTCTTGACTTGAAGACTGGTTTTAAGTTGTCAGGCGTCTGTCAGTGCAGACAGTGGAATATTAACTCAAGTCCTCACTTTTTACCCCCCCCCATTACAGAGCTCAAATCCTTGTCACAGCTGAGCTGTAAGGATGGCTGTACACACAGTCCTGTAATAGTTACTTAAATGCTAAATTAAACATGATTTGAACTTGGGTGTTTCGTTTTTTGTTTGCCTAATCATTTGTAGAAGTCTTCAAATATCCCAGAACCATTTGTGTATGCAGTATAAACATGCTGAGGATCTGCTTTTTATGTTCCCTTTCATTGTACTGTTTTTTTCTGGTTTGCTTCAGACTTGATAAATATATTTGAATTGGGGCTTCATGGAATACAAGCAGCTCTTTGTTTGATGTGGCTAAAAACAGAGTCTAAATGTGTAGGTCTGAGTTTTTGTATTTGCTTTCAGTTGGCACAACACCAGGGTGACTCCTGTTGTTTTTTGTGGTCCTTTTAGATGATCCCAGCCCAAGGCTCAGTGCACAGGCACAAGCTGCTGAGGACATTCTGGACAAATACAGGAATGCCATCAAGAGAACCAGTCCCAGTGAAGGAGCCATAGTGAACTATGACAGTGCAGGTGAGAGCCTGGCTTTTGGAATCATCACCAACATAGTTTCTCTTCCTTAAAGATAAAAACACTTCAGTATTCTAGACCAATGGTAGTATTACCAGCTGAACAAGGTGAGCTCTAAACCGGGAGTGTTTTCTCAAACAATCTGTGGGACAGTCCCACAGAGGCTGGGAATTAAATCAGTATTCCCAAGGACCTCTCTTTCATATTACCATTGAGGGGGCTGGTTGTTGATAGCACATCTCCTAACAGTTTTTTCTTTTGTTTTGTTTTAATGGGCACTAAAGAAGTATATTGCCTCACAAAAGTGATGCTGTTTTTTCTTAGCAATTTGTAGATTGTATATTTTTATATGCTTTTTTCACTTATCCAGAATAAGCTGATTTATTTGCTGTCTTCATTTTCGACCTGACCTTAGAATAACAAGCAGAAAATTGGACTGGTTTCTTCCTCTGACTCTTCAAGTGTAATGTTTTTCTGTTGCCACAGAGGCTCTTGGGGATGGTGAGAGCATGCACGACTCCCCGCGGGACGAGGCCTTGCAGAACATGTCTGCAGACGATCTCCCAGACTCTGCAAGTCAAGTAGCACAGCCACAAAGTTCTGCTTTCTCCTATAGGTAAATACATTGGCAGGTTTCATCTTACCCACAAAGTGGAATTAAAAGCTGAACCTGTGAGTTTGGTTCCCACAAGAATCCTAATATGGATCAGTTGTAAACTTTGATGTACTTTGAGTTTTAAGCATCTCAAACTGTCGTATTTCCACTGATGAAGGAGGGATGTTGTAACCTGAGAGGACAGAGCAGTTCAGTGTTTAGGAAAATTTCTTTGAAAATGGTCTGGGTGCTATATCAAAAGAACCAATATTCTTAAGTCTTGGCATTTTTGGTATATTAAAATGACATTAAATAACTTTTAGGCACTATTAAATAAAAAAGAAAATAATAACTTCTTGTTGAAGAAGCAGGCCTCACAGCAACTGTGTTAAGAAAATATTTTTCCTCTTTAAGGGATGCAAAGAAGAAATTGAGATTGGCTCTTTGTTCAGCAGATTCTGTTGCCTTCCCGATGTTGACCCACTCAACACGGAATGGTCTCCCAGACCACACAGACCCCGAAGGTAAAGGTTCTTTGTGTTGTGTGTATCTCTTCTTGTCCCCCATCTAATGACACTCGTACTGCACCAATTGTGGTCACTTCTCTTTGCTACAGACTTAGAAGGCACAGGCTGCCTTTTGTCCCCAGAATGGTTTCGTTCTTGCTTCACAAACCTGCCATCTAAATCTGGTCTATTTTTTTTTTTTAAATGAAGTACCATGGATGTAGTGCAGGTAGAGCCTGAAGCTATAGAATATACTCCCCAAATACATGTGCTGTTGGGAACTGTGCTACTTGAATGACTTAACTAGTCTTTACGTTGGTTTACTATATATGTGTTGTGTTGTGTCCCTCCATTCGTTCTAGGTTTATTTGCAAACAGGTGAATTTGAATTTGTTACCTTATCTGGTCCTCTTCATGTTTCAGAATGATTCTAAATACTAGCTAAGATGATGATATGATAACTTATCCCCTGATATCTGGAAAATTCGAGAAAGCTTATTAAACTGTTCTAAAACAACATTTATTGCCTCACGTACAGAAATTTTGTTTTAAATCATTAACGTTTCCCACATTCAGAACTAGTTTATTTTCATCATGCCTGTTTCTTCTCCTTAACAATTTTTCTTTGTTCTTTATCAGATAATGAAATTGTGTGCTTCTTGAAAGTTCAGCTGGCTGAAGCCATCAACCTCCAGGACAAGAACCTGATGGCACAGCTGCAGGAGACGATGCGCTGCGTGAGCCGCTTCGACAACAGGACCTGTCGGAAGCTGCTGGCCTCCATTGCAGAGGACTATAGGTAGCTTGTTCATTAGTAACAGCTTCCCAAATCCATATATTTATTCACTAGCACATTGGGAACATCCCTTTTGTTTTAAATTGTACTTTACCAAACCAGGCTATTACACCTCTGCTTCCCCACAAAACAATGAAATTGTCTCAGCTGTCTGTGAATGGCTTAAAAAAGCTTGGGCCTTAAGTCAGTCCAGGTAGTAATAAACTCAGGTTAAATCAATTTGTGGGTAGTATTCAGCAATAACACACACAAAATGCTGTTTGGAATTTGCTTTAGTCTGGCATTCCTGAGTGCTGCCAGGGCAGTGAACTCACAGGAATCTGTGTGAGGTGAACTTCCGAAGTCACACATTGTTCTGTTTTATAAACAACAGATTGAAGACTCCTCCTGCACTACAGCTCAGCAGCTTGTAAAGCTATTAGCCTCTATCTCTGTTACCAGTCTGATGTAGAGCCCTCTTTATTTTAGGAAAAGAGCTCCATATATTGCTTATTTGACTCGCTGTCGCCAAGGCCTGCAGACGACACAGGCACACCTGGAAAGGCTCTTGCAGAGAGTTCTGCGAGATAAAGAAGTGGCCAACAGATACTTCACTACAGTATGTGTGAGGTTACTGCTGGAGAGCAAAGAAAAGAAAATAAGGGAATTTATTCAAGGTAAGATTAATGCAGACTGGAATGTTTATATTCCTTTACTTCTAATTTAGATGCTGGCTTGGGTTAATGTTTTAAAATACAACTTTCGATCTGAGGAGAAGATTCCTAAAATGATTTTAATTTCAGCTGGTGAATTAATGGCTCAAATAGACAGATTACTGTGACTTTGCTTTATGTTGTGGCAGCTAAACCATGGTAACTGTCTGCATTTTTCACGGGCTGAGAGAATGAAGGTAATTTGTCCTTGCTTGGCCTAAGTTATGCTAAATCATATTATCTAGTATCTGCCCCATGGAAGAAGCATGAATGCTATTAATTGTTTTAGATCTACTGATAAATGGTATATGAAGTTGCAGCATTCAATTCTTAGTCTGGAACCTGTGGTTGCATCTTAGAAGATATGGGGGATAGTAGTAGTGTGAATCAAATGAATCAAAGATTTAAAAATACCACAGCATACAGGACAGCACCACCAGGAAGACAACTCTCTAAACAGAACCACTTACAACAAACTAGTTCTGTGCTCTCTAGGCACATGTCTGACTTAATGGAGCACATAAGGAATTTGGAGTCAGTTCTTGCTCCTGGAGCATTTGGGTGCTGTGTATTAAATGTGCCTGGATAGGCTGGAATTAATCTGAGATCTTGCATTTACTGAGATGAAAGTATTTGTAATAAGGTTCAGTGACCCAGGAAGGAGTTAAAGCCCTTTCACTGGACAGAAAGGAGACAGCTATTTCTGGATGATCTAAAAGAGCCACTGGCAGCCGTGGCATTGAGGCTGCTGGCAGCTGTGAGTGGCAGCTGTCTCTGGGGCAGGGTGCTGTAAATGTGAAGCTGATGAATGGCACTGATTTGGTCACGCTGCATTCACTGGGCTGCATCACTCGGTCTGTGTTTTGTACATAAACATGAATGTTGCATCTGTGTATACTTAATAAGAGTAGTGGGAAATGGGACACATGGGTTTTCATATCTGCCCCAGCTCCCCCTTCAGCATCTGACAGCTTTGTATGTGCTGGTTTTTGCCAGTGCCTGTCCCAGGGATTGTTGTGGGTGCTGTCTCTGTGGGTGGCTGGGAAGAAGCTTAAGAACTGGTGCTACAGAGGGAGTGATTAACACAGTATTGAGTATTTTGACCATATGCTTTGTTAAATGTGTTCTATATGGTTTTCCTCTAATGCCTCCATTTATTTCAAGTGTTTCTGCTTGTATTTCCCTTACTGGGATGTGGGCAAAACAGCCTCACTGCTGGCTGGCAGGAAGTCTGAAGTAGATTCTGGGCTCTTCCTGCCAGAAAACCCTATCAGAATTAATACTTTTTACTTAAGAGAATGTTCTTTCTCTTCTTCCCTTGTATCAGATTTCCAGAAGCTCACAGCAGCAGACGATAAAACAGCCCAAGTTGAGGATTTCCTTCAGTTCCTGTATGGGGCTATGGCTCAGGATGCCATATGGCAGAATGCCAGTGAGGAACAGCTTCAGGATGCACAATTAGCCATCGAGCGCAGTGTGATGAATCGCATTTTCAAACTTGCCTTCTACCCTAATCAGGATGGAGATATTCTGCGTGACCAGTAAGTTAATGGAATTCCAAGTACTTGGTTTCTCTTTTGCAGTTGGTGCAGATGGAAGCTGTGCAACCTTCCTGTGACAGACTCGTCTTTGCCAGCCAGGCCACACAAACCCATGTCTCTGCTCAGAACATTTTGTTAAAGAACAGGGAAGTGCTTTAGCACCGTGTGCAAACGTGTTTGCAACAAACTGCTAGAACAGAATAAAGTTGTAAATGTAATAATGACTTGGGATACAGTCGGGTCTGCAAGTGTGTGTGCTGAGAGAATGATCAAAATCTGCCTCAGGACTCCTTCCATTTCCTGGTTTGGTGCAGTATTTTCCATGCATTTGGGGTTTTTGTTTCTGCGTTTTAGAACAGATGCTGTTGGAATGCTCTAAGAGCTACTTGGTTGTACAACACAATCCTTTGCACGCTCACTGACCTGGTATCCATCAGCTGTAGGGCCACCATGACTATGTACATTCCTGAAGATATCCCTTGTAGTATCAAATTTAAAACAAGTGGGAAGCCCCAGGGGACTGCAGGCTGGCTGCTGCTAAGTTTTCACTCATGTTTTTTGTGTTTTCAGGGTCCTTCACGAGCACATACAGAGGTTATCCAAAGTAGTGACTGCAAACCACAAGGCCCTTCAGATACCTGAGGTAACAACTCCTTCACTTCTGTACGTGTGTCAAGGTGCTTGGTTTTAATTAAGTTTGGGATGGGGAGGGAATTGTTCTGTTTTGCACTTAGAAGTGGTGCTTTTCTGTCTGTGACAGCTGAGATATCCTGCAGGAAAAGCGTGCTGTACCCGTGCCTTAGTGTCTTCCCTTGACTGATCCTTCTAAATTCAGTTTTTTTCCTCATTTTACCACCTCTGTCCTGATACCAAGATTTAAGAACCAATGGTACACTGCACTAAGATGCAGTAACATTCTGATAATTTGCTTCAAAAGAGAAGATTTGAATCCTTTATGCTTCTGCTGTGATTCCCCTGCCATGGCTGTGGTTTACAGCTGTCAAGTTAACTTTCTGAACCAGCCAGAATTAACAAAACCTTGCAGCTCTGAATTTACCCAGCACTTTTGGCTTTTCTCATGCCTAATAGGATAACTAAAAGCAGGTTGGTAGGCTCAAGGAGTCTGTCAGGGCTGGATGTCTGCAGCTGCCTGGCTCTCAGTTCAGCACTCAAAGTGTGTGACTCTAAACAGTGTCACAAAGCTGCTGGTGAGGAACAGAGGCCCTGCAGCTCTGCCTTCATCTGGAACAGGGTCCTGAGCAAGTCGTGGAGAAGTACAGGCTCATTGGGGGAGTTGCACACGGAATACTGGCTCCTTCTATTGTTTTTTTTAATGACACCTCAGGATGCCACCTCCACTGTGAGTGTGATAGAGCCATTTCAGTCACAGACTCACAGAATGGGTTGGGTGGGAAGGGACAGACCATAAAGCCCATCTTGTTCTACCCCTTGTCATGGGCAGGGACACCTTCCACTAGACCAGGTTGCTCCAAACTCTGTCCAACCTGGTCTTGGACACTTCCAGGGATGGGGCAACCACAGCTTCTCTGGGCAACCTGTGCCAGGGCCTCCCCACCCTCACAGGGAGGAATTTCTTGCATATATCCAACCTGCATCTGCCCTCTTTCGCTTCGAACTCCTCTTGCCTTAAGGCTTCCCTTTTCTCCAGAGCCTGTGAGTCTCTGGTGCTGTGGTGCACAGCAGTAACTTGGACACACAGGAGCTGGCAGTGTGTTGGTTTTCCACAGGTCTATCTCCGGGAGGCACCGTGGCCGTCGGCACAGTCCGAGATCCGCACGATAAGTGCTTACAAAACCCCCCGGGACAAGGTGCAGTGTATCCTGAGGATGTGCTCCACCATCATGAACCTGCTCAGCCTGGCCAATGAGGATTCAGTACCTGGGGCAGATGATTTTGTTCCTGTTTTGGTTTTTGTCCTGATAAAGGTGAGTTCTTTTGCAGAGGTCGCAAACCCCAGCTAATTCTTGTAATTAACAAGCACATTTTGGAGGAGAAATAGTCCCTGTGGGTAATGGGGAGCATGCCAGGCTCGAGCCCAGATCTGATTCAGCAGGTTGGAATGGGAATCAAAAATGTGGTCACAGTTACCGTTTTTGAATCCAAACAAACTTTGCATTTGGAACCAAGGAAATTGGGGTGCAGATTTTGTGTGGGGAGTGGAGTTTGTGTGAGATATGTCCACCAGCATCTGTCATCTGTGCCTGCTTCATGCTGTCCTCTCAGGACCAAGATCCACACTAGGACTGACTTGTGTTGCTGGTCTTTTTGGCACGAGTGGAGAATGGTCTGTCACATGTCAGACACCAAAACAACAGGCTTTACATGTGTTGAGGTCCTGATGACCTTCATAGATTCTGCCAGTGTTCCCCTTCTTTCTCTTGGCCTGCTAGTCATTTTTCCTTGATGGGAAAAAGGCTCTTTTCATCAAGCCTGATGTCTTCTGAGCGTGTGAGATGGGGCTGGTCAGGATGAGCAGTGCCTACCCTGGAGATTGTTACCTGCTGTGCAGTATCAGGATCACTGCACGGAGGGAATTGGGGTTCTTTCTGTATCTTGCAGTGTTTGATGTCGAGCTTTGCAAACAAACTGTGAGTATCTCTCTCTTCTCCAACCCCAGGCAAACCCCCCTTGCCTGCTGTCCACTGTGCAGTACATCAGTAGTTTCTATGCCAACTGCTTGTCTGGAGAGGAGTCCTACTGGTGGATGCAGTTCACGGCAGCCGTGGAGTTCATCAAAACCATCGATGATCGCAAGTAGCTCGCCCAGCACATGCATGGGCAGACTGTGAGCAGGAGAGGAGCGTCTGAGAATGTACAACAGCTGCAAAAGCTGAAGAAAAGACTTTCCTTGTATAATACTGTACAGAATTGAGGCATTTTAAAACACACCTTTACTAATCTAATTAATTTAACAGATTTTCCTCTTCTCTTTCGGTTGCGTTTTTCTCCCCTCTAGATACTGGCACTGCAAAAGGGACCACAGTCTTCAGGTATTTTGGAATCTCAAAACATGCAGAAAATATTTCATGCTTTCTCCACCACCCCTCTTGCTGAATTCTTCCTCACGTGAATAGTTCATTTGATTTCTAACAGAAAACTGAAACAAGAGGAATCAGGGCAGCCACACAGTAAACTTTCTAGTTGAATACACCTTTTATTAAGAAAACACCAGCCACACTGAAAGTTTGTAGTAGCTGACATCAGTTATTGATTATATTTCACCTAAATTTAAAATCTGAGAGGACAATGTAAATATTATATAACTATATTTAATGCATTGCAAGTTTCTTTGGACTCATTATCCTTCGAATAAAAAGCAAAAGCCTCTCTGACCTCTAACAGGTTGTGATGTACCGTGTTTTGGTGATGGAAGGACTTCCTAGAAAGGCTAAGGTTTAAAAAGGGCAAACTGAACTATTTATTAAAATGTAATTAAGGTTACTGAAATTTCTAAAACTGGAATTTTTAATAGGGCTTATTAGCTAGCTGAACACTTCTTGGCTAGGGCATTAGGGTGTTACAGAGGTTTGGGTATATAGAGGAGAGCGACTGTAAGTTACAATAGAGAAGTCTAATATAAAAAAGGAGAAATAAAATACCTTACTGTAATATTTTTTCTGATCTATTGTGTATACTGTACAAACCCCAAACAGAGATCCTTAACAGAACCTTGGGCTGTAATATATATTTTGATTAGTGACATTAAATACATATGCCAGGGGGTTCAGTGAATGTTTTTACTAAATGTTCTTCGTGTTGTCTGCTATGCAGCAGTGCAAGTTTTACTGTTCATATAAAATATTTTAAAATAATATAACACTGTTCTTTATGAAACATATCATGGCATCAGTTCAGGGTGTTTTATAGATTTCTCACCCCTCCTTTCCCTTAAACTGACAGTTACCAGGTTAAAGAGGTTTTTATGCACACCACCACGTGTGTTTTTCACGACTGAAGTGGTCTGGGGCATGGCCAGTGCGTGTTGGCTCTTTATAAGCACTCGCTGTCCTTTTTCAGCTTGAATACAGTGAAAAAGGACATCGAGCACTGAACTTTTTCATGTCAGTATTATTTCTTGCTCTTTCCAGAGTGTTCATTGCACTTCTGACAGAGGGATGTGGTAAGGTTTGGTGTCTGTGAGTGGTAAACAAAATCTTTCTCACAGTCTTTTCAAAACACGATTGGCTGATTTTGTGTGTGTGCATTTTGATGATTAAAACCTGTAAGCAACTAGTACTTGGGAAAATCATGTGGTTAATTGGAATTAGAGCAAAGTATTGAGTGCATGATTTGGCTGTGCTACTTGTCAAGGCATAATTAAAGAAACTTACTTTCTTGGACTCAGATAGAACTCAGCAGTTTTGCCAAACTAATCACAGATGAGAAGTTGGGATGGTAACATTTTTCTTTTATAGTCTTTCTCCTCTATTAGAGACTCGACTGTGTGGAGGAGCAATACTCAATCGAAACAGAATTCTTCTGATCTGCCTTACTGTGGTGACTCAGTCTGTGTAGCACTGCAATATTCTGGTTATTTAGCCTTGATGGGTTTTTGGTGCTGAACACGTAACTCAATACTGCAAGCACAGCCCTAACCAATAACACTCAGCAGCAAAGCACAAACATGCCCTTGAAGATATACCCAGATCATATCAAAAAGCAATATAAATCCATTTATACTGAAGTGTCCTGTAATATGTAATTATTACTTGAATATCCAAGACATTGAGGCCGAAGTGTGAAAGTTCTCTTAGTGTTGCAGTTTGGGTGTTGGTTGAGGAGAGTATTTGTAGGATCCTTAAAGAAGGCACAAGGACACTGGAGCTGGTGTTCACCCTGCACGTTGCCTCTTTGCTGACCTGGACACAGGGTTGGATCAGGCCCATTGTGTCTTTCAGGTTTGCTCTTCCTTATGGAAGGGGCAAGAACCATTTTCTCCACAGCTTTTATCACTTTATTTCTCTGCATAAAAAAAATATTTAAAAGAACTGGTGTCTTTTTTTAATTGTTATTTAGTTATTTTAAAACCAATAAGTTTCAGTGAGCCCCAGGTGAGCTGACAGTTTTTGTAGCAAGATGGTCCTTTGCTTCTTTTTTTTCCAACCTACTCTGAAGGTCCTTTATATAGTCTTGATAGGTGTAGTTAGAGAATTAGGCTTTCCAAAGAATTAAAAGCCTGCCTGTAATGTCCTTTTACTGTTTTCCCTGGTGTCCCGTAATGTTTTGTTTTAAAATGCTGAATTCCATGTCTAGGAAGTGGTGGTGTTAGGTTTGGTGTGCAATAGTGAAGGTGAAAAGACAGTGCATAAAGGACCAAAAGTACCAGAACTGCTGCCAAAAGGTGCCAGCCAGCCACGGGCCTGTTGCTGTAATCTCGGTGCTTTCTGTGAATTAAACTTCTTCAGCCACTGGAGGAGGAATGGGGCATTTTGGGGAGAGGGAGGGGGAGAGGTTCTTGGTAACAGGTCACAGCTGGGGACAGGCTCGGTCGTTGTTGGCACGTCCTGAGGAACTGCCACGTGAAATGATGGCATGTCTGTGCCTGGGAATGTTACAGAGGTGCTGGTTTCCTTTTTGAGTAGAGGAGGGAAAGAAACGGCTGGGGTTTTCATCCCTAGGAGATTCCTTTGTGCTCCTGAGATTTCTCTTTAAAGCCTTTTTAAATCCTCTTTAAGGAGAATCAGAATGTCTCTGGCCTACCAAGGATTTGAGTTTAAAAGTTTTTGTTTTGAAGACCTTTTACTACCAAATGCTGAATGTAACTGCCATAAATTTCAGGAAAAAAAGCCACGAACATGATGCTGTTTCCTGTGGGTGAGTCTCTGGTGAGCACAGTGTTGGTTCGTATTGCTTGAAAACGTTCTTGTTCTGGTAAGCCAAATTCTCAGAGAACTGGAGAACTCACTGCCATGGGAATGGGGAGGGGTGAAGAGGGTGGGAGAGGGGGCAGAGCTGTGTGTTGGCATGAGTGAGTCACGGTGTGCTGGGAGAGCTGGAGCAGCAGGAAGGCAGTGGGGACAGAGGGGGAAGGATGCTCGTGTGTGGGTACAGCTGGGGACGTGGTTGAGCCTGTACTACTTGAGAATTAACCTCTGCTAAGTTAGTAGTGTGTGTTCTGTACCTTTTAATTGTGCTTTACCTCTATTGAAAAGCTTTGTACTGCCTCTCCTCTTTGGTAAAGCCTTTATAAATCTAAATTAACGAGCTTGCACAATCTTGTATACAGGAACCCCATCTTGTCTCTTAACGTGATTATTAATGTATTATTCTGTAAAAACTGATTAAAAGGAGAGCAGTTTAACCGCCTGGCTTTGACGTTTCTGCCTTGTTCCAGTGCCATCACCAGTTCTGCTGGGGATGGCAGTGCAAGTGTGAGCAGCTTCCCACTAACTCTGTGAGGTTTCCCATTGGGGATCACTGCTCTGCTCCACCCTCACACCTCTCAGGGAAGGGACAGTGGCAAAAAAGAACCAAAATCCAGTTAAAGGGAAAGGAAGCATTGCTGCATTGACTGCTTAACACAGAGCTCTTCAGATATTATTTTAAATCCTGTGGCTTGGGCTGTTCTAAGAGCTTGAGAGGAAAGAAGTGGCTCTGCCTGTGGCAGGGCCGTGCCCATCCCTCTGCTGCCTGCTGTTTGATGCCTTGATGGGAGTGGTCAAGTCCAAAAGTGTTACGTTTGGCATCTTGTTTGTTAAGAAATGTTAATTTTGCCTGTGAGACAGGAGCATTTTCTCAGCTGTCGTGCACCCAGCCCGGTCCTGGCGCCGGCAGGGGCAGGTGGGCACAGCGGTGGGACCGGGGCGGGGGCGCGGCCGTGGCGCTGCCACGAGCTTGGTCCCCGCAGTGTTATTGACCTTGATTCTCTCTCATTTGCATCCAGCATTTTTCATCCTCTGGAATATGGTGTTTGGGGACCTTTCCATCATTAAGTGGATTTACAGCAATTTCCTTATGTGTTTTCTCCAAGGGATTCTGTTATGAGAGGCACATTAAATCTCCATTAATACCTCATTATCCGACTGATAAGATTACCATGATAATGAGGCAGAAATTCTAATTGTTTCACTTCTTATTGTGCCTTTCATTAAATCACATACCTGGAAGTTGCTGTCGGAGAGGAGAGCTCCAGCCTGCAGAGCTCGAGAGGTGACCTGGTTCTGTGCATCCTGGTCCTGTCCCACAGTGCTCGGGGGATGCTGGGGCGTGCTGGCCTTTTCTCCCAGGCTCCTGTGCCTCCTGCCACGGCCTCCCCTCTGTGGCAGTGCCACCAGGAGGGCTTCTGGTGGCCCCAGGGCCTTTGGCAGCCTGCCCTGGGAGCGTGGATTTGGAGAGACCATGTCCCACATGCCCCGTGCCCGTGCCCTGGTTGTGTGGAGCCGTTGGCTCCGAGTGCAGGGTGTGCAGCCTCCGCCGGAGCTGTTAGAACCCATCAGGTCAATGATCCATGAACTAAGAAGTCTCTAAGCAGGAGCAATTATTGTCTATCATGTGTCAAAGGCGCCCGTATTGACCCCGATAGATGGAGCCATTATGTCCTGTAGAGGCAGCGATCCATGAACGGAGGGTTCACGGGAGCAGAGGTCTCAACACACCACACCAGCGCCGTCCACCCGTCCTGCCCGGCCCCGCAGGGTGAGGGATGCACAAGGTGAGGGGACAGGGATGGATCTGGGGAGGGGAGCAGTGTGGATGCTGCCAGCTCAGTGTTCTGCTGGAGCAGCCTGGAGCCAGGCCAGGCTGGGGGAACAGCCCCACTGGGCCCCAGGGCTCCTCAGGGGATGTTCTGCATCTGCCCCAGGCCCCGCTCCCCTGGGGTGTGTGCAGGGATTCCGGTGACCAGCACGACCTGAGCTCTGGTCCAGGAACAGAGACACCTCTGTGGGGCCATGTTGGTCACACACTGCTGGTGAGAGCCCCTGCCTGGTCCTGACAGGCAGCCCACAGCCAACCTCGTTAGGAAACACCACAGAGCCCTGCTTGGCACCAGATCCAGCTCTGGATCCCCTAGTTCCTTAAGTGTGGGGGGGGCTGGGGCCATTTCTGCAGACAGTCTGTTCCTCAGGCTCAGTTAACGAGGTAGAGGAGCCCACAGTGGATGGCACCTCTTGGCCTATGGGGCAGGGGGTCCCCAGGACAAGGACTGTGTGAGCCCCTCTTTCAGCACAGCACTGGGGTTGGCCATGGAGCCCCTGGCTCAATGCCCTGAGTGGAGATGGAGCTGGGCCCTGGCCCCTGGCCCCCTGCCCAGGCTTCTGGCATCCAGATCTGCTGCAGAACAGAACGTTATCCTGCACAAGTGGACTCAGACTCCTCCTGTGCCAAGGAGGAGATGTCTCCATAGTAACTGGCACATTTGGAGGGCAGGAGGTGCAAGGGACTGAGACAAAGCCTCTGTGAGAGCTCTGGGCAGACCCCACAGCCCAGGGTACCCTTGGGCACATGGTGCTGCTCGGCCAGGGGCACAGGCTGCTCCAGCCCCCTGGCCCTGCTGCTCCATCAGGAGCCAGGTATGGCCCCCCCAGCAGTGCCCCCGGTGCTGATGGCAGAGCCCCTGTCCCTGTGGTGGCAGGGGTGTCACCGCTGTGGGGAGGGGTGCCTTTTAGCACCAGCCTGCAGAACCAGAGCAGAGGGGGCAGCCATGGTCGTGCCTGGGGCTCTGGGCTGGGGCAGCTGCATGGCAGCACCTGGGCCAGGCAGGTGCAAGGTGGGTGGTGGGTGCCCTGTGGGGAGCGGGTGCCCTGCCCACCACTGCCCACCTCTGCCAGCCCCGCCGGCAGCACCACCACTGAGCCACGGCACCAGCAGAGTCATCGGGCTGGGGTTAATCAACATTCATTCATGTTTCCAAGTGTAAATTGAGCATTTGTTTAATTATGTGTAAGCAGCAATACATTCTGGCCATTATCTAAATCACTATTTTATTTCCTGGATGTGGTTTCATAATGCTGGGTTTGTGCTCCAGCCTCTGCATCATTAACAGAGAAGAGTTAATGAATATAAAAGCGTAAAGGCTAATTACACTTTAATTTACAATCATGGTCTCATTTTGGGACCACATGAAATCTGTTTTGAAAACAATTAAAACAAAAAAAAAAACCCAGTGAAGGTCTGGTGAGTGGAAGGGTTTTGGCACAAAGTGAGCAGTGGCCGCCGGGCCCATGGTGCTGTGGCTGCTCGGTGTTAGAAAGGCCAGGGCTGCCCATGGCTCCCAGGAGCCTGGTGGGTCCCTTGTG